GTCTGTGTGTTCCACAGTGCTGTAACTGCCATCGGTGAAGGTTTCTTATAGCTTCTGATAACGTAACACAACAGGGCTAGTTCGCTTCTCTGAGATTACCCTACCTGTTCTGTTTCTCAATCATTTGTGTGTGTGTGTGTGAGAGAGAGTGTGTGTGTGTGTGTGTGTGTGTGTGTGTGTGTGTGTGTGTGTGTGTGTGTATGTGTGTGTATGTATGTATGTATGTATGCACATACACATTCTAATTTAATATGATATTAGCTTTTAATTGTTGTTGTTGCACCTGTTTTTGTTATGTTTGTGTTATGTTTTTGTTCATGTTTTTGTTCATGTTTTTCTGTTTTTGTTGCTGCTACTGCTGCTGCTGTTGTTGTACGGTTGTAGTTGTTGTAGTTGTGGTTGTTGTAGTTGTAATTGTGGTTGTTGTTGTTGTTGTTGTTGTTGTAGTAGTTGTGGTTGTTATAGGTGTAGTTGTAGTAGTTGTGGTTGCTATAACTCGGTTTGTCTGGTGACCCCCTGTGTGACGTCAGCTGGTGGGCTCGGCCAACACAGACCTGGAGGCCGTGCGGGTGGAGCTGACGGACAAACAGGAGGAGCTGGAGACCATGAGGAAGGAGTACACAGACCTGCAGGTTGGAACCCCGCGCCCTCTGGTGGGGACACACGTGTGTTTGTTTGTTTGTTTGTTTGTTTGCACAGGTTGGAACCCCACGCCCCCTGGTGGTGACGTGGGTTTGTTTGTTTGTTTGTTTGTTTGTTTGTTTGTTTGTTTGTTTGTACAGATACAGGTTTGAACCCCGCGCCCTCTGGTGTGGACCTGGGCTTGTTCGTTCATGCAAATTTGACAGACACACTCACATTCTCAGAGCATCACTATCATCAACAACAATACAGAATTGAAACAGGAAAGATCACGTAGTCCTGAGCTTTTTCTTCCCACTTCGCAGTGTCAGCGGTGCGCTGATTTCAGACCCGTTTGATGTGTTTACATCAAACTTAACTTTCCGCATACAGAAGAGTAATTATTCTACCTTTGTACCCAGCCAATTTTTCAGCCCTACAATCTTCTTATAGCTCTATTCCTATCTAACCTATCTGCATAAAATAGACACCAGACTGAGTAGAAATGAATGGTCTATGCAATAAACATACAGTCTGATTACAGGTATGATGAATTTGCAAGTATTTCATGTTTTGTTATGATTGTAAACAATCAAGCTATTTTGTGTTCCAACTGAACTGGTGCCCCACACACTTACAGTTAATCTATGTGTTGAAATTCTCCTACCCATACTGTTAACTCTAACAACAACTCTCTCCCCCCCTCCCCGCCCTTCCTCCTCTCCCTGCTCACATGCTCGTAATCTCAATGTCTGGGTCGTGGTTTCTATGGTCTAACATTATGTAACGCTTTGGTGATGGTCGCCCTTTTTGTGCCTTGTAAGAATTGGCTGATAGAATTAACATTTGAAGACTCCAGTGGAAAAGCTAGATAAGTAGATACGTCACATTTGTCGACTTTTTGGGTATTGTTTTGTTTTTCTTGTTGCCTTCTTTAAAAGTCGAACTTTCTTCTCCTCAAATTTTCCCATGGGTAACCCAGCCATGTCTTGTGCTATGTAAGATTTTGAAATAAATGCTATACTCACTTTGAGACACAGACTTTCAAATAAATGCTATACTCACTTTGAGACACAGACTTTCAAATAAATGCTATACTCACTTTGAGACACAGACTTTCAAATAAATGCTATAC